CGGCCCCAAAAGGGAGTTTTCCGGCCTCAAAATGGGGGCCCCCCCCCCCCCCCCCCTTCGTCTCACGCGGCCCCAAAATGGCGGTTTCCCGCCGCGCCTGAGGGCAGCGACCCCGGAATGCGGCTTTTCAGCCCCAAAATAGCGTTTTTTTTAATCACAAAATACCTTTTATATCCCGTCACATCAATCCCTTTCACGACGTTCGGCCCCTAAATGGCTATTTTTTGCCTCGACGAGGGAATTTTCAGCCGTAAAATGAAGGGATTAGCCCTAAAATGGAGTGTTTCGCCCCAAAATAAGTGCTTTCATTCCCCCTTCCTTCTCCAAGCGGTATTTTTAAGCTTAAAAATGTGCTTTTTTTTACCTCGGAACCGCGGCGTCCCGCCCCTGCGGCGTGTTCAGCCCCAGAATGGGATTTTTGCCCCCAAAAAAAGGGCTCTGCACCCCCCCAATACGTTATTTTGCTACAAAACGGGCTCTTTCCATTCTCAAAAGGGGGGATTTATACCCTAAAATAAAAAGTTTTGCTTCCAGATCGGGGCGTGCCGCCCACAACGTGTTCGGCCCCCAAAACGGGGGTTTTCAGCCCCGTAAAAAAGGGTTTTTTGAGCCCAAAATGAGCTTTTTCAGCCCCAAAATAGGGGTGTGCCGCCTCTTGTGAGACCCTTGTGGCCCCAAAATGGAAGTTTTTCGCCCCGAAAATGGGATATTTATGCCCCAAAATAGGGGTTTTCTTTTCCAGACAGAAAATAGGGTTGGGGGAGTAAAAAAAAAATAAAAGGGTTTTAAACCCCAAAAGAAAAGGTTTTGGCTTCAATCGGGATTTCTGGCCCCAAGTTGGAGATTTTTGGCCTCGAAATAAGAGCTTTGTTCCCTGAAATGGAGTTTTCAGCCCTAAAATGGGGGATTTTGCCCTCCCAACAGATTTTCTGGCCCTGACGTAGAGGTTTTTAGACCTAAAATAGGGCTTTTTTTACCCCAAAATGGATTTATTTCAGCGTTAAAACGTGGCTTTCTGCCCCTAGAAGGGGTTTCCAGCCCCAAAATGGAGGTTTTCAGCTTCAGAGTAAGATCTTTGTTCCCCGAATTACCATTTTTAGCCCCCAGATGGCTTTTTCCCCCCCCCCAAAATGAGGTTTTTAGGACCCAAAAGGAGCTTTTCAGCCCCCAAAAAAGGATTTTTTTTAGTTGCAACTGCATTTTTTCACAGCTAAACCAAGGGTTTTCGGCCCCCAAAATGGAGGTTTCCAGCCCCAAAATGGAGGTCCTCAGCTCAAGAATGGGATCTTTGTGCTCCCAAATGCCAATTTTCTGCCGCAAATTAAGGGCTTTTGCTCCAAATTTGATATTTTTTTGACCCCAAAATAGGGACTTTTTGCTGCAGAATGACAATTTCGCCCCCCAAATGGATGGTTTTGGCCCCAGAATAGGCTTTTATTATGCCGGAATAGATTTTATTTTGCCGCATAATAGGATTTTCCTTCCCCTTAAAATTTTTTCAGCCCCCAAAAGAATTTTTTTTAGTACCAAAATCGGGTTTTCCCCACCCAAACGGCGATTTTGGTCTCAAAATGGACGTTTTCAGCTTCAGAATAGGATCTTTGTTTCTCCAAACGGAGTTTTCAGCCCCCAAAATGGAGGTTTTCAGCCCTAGAATAGGATCTTTGTTCTCCAAAATGGCAAAAAAGAGGCTTTTCCACCCCAAAAAAGCACTTTTCTGCTCGGCGGTGGTGTTTTTAGACCCATAATAACGATTTTTATCCTCAAAACAGGATCATCTTACTGCAGAATTACAATTTTTCTGCGGCGCCAACATAGAGGCTTTTTGTTCCTAAAAACCACGTTTCAGCCCCAAACCAGAATTCTCACCCCCAGAATCGGCTCTTTTTCCCCCAAAATGGACTTTTCACCCCAGAATTACATTTTTTTTAGCCACAAAATGCCCTTTTTCTGCTCTGAAACGGGATTTATTTGGAAGAAAAATTACAATTGCGGAACTCCAGAAATGGCAATTTTTAAATGCCGGTTTCCAGTCTCCAGAATGCTGTTTTTTAACCCAAATCGGTGGTTTTTAACCCATTTCTCCACCTTCACCCCCAAATTGCCATGTTTTGGCCTGTTTTCACCCACAGGGCGTGGCCCTGTTCCCCACCCCCCCTGTGACCTTGGGGAGGGGGCGGGGGGTCCCCAGAGTGCCCGCCCCTCCCCCACCCTTTGTTCCCAGCCGCCCCTCCCCCCTCCGGCCGCTTTTTCGGGGGGGAAAATTGAAAATTAGAGTTTTTTTTTTTTTTTTTTTTTTTTTTTTTCCTTTTGGAGGGGTGTGGCCACGCCCAATCCTGGCCACGCCCCTGCGGGTTTTAGGCTCTGCCCCTTTGGGGCAGGCCCCACCCCTTGGCAGCTGACCCAGCCCCCTGGTTTGGCTCCTTCCCCTCAGAGAGGTCCCACCCCCGTGATTGGTGCTCTGGGGGTGCTCTGGCTCCGCCCCGAGGGCTGGTCTTCCAATAGGACTCCCTCCTCCAATGAGGCCACGCCCCCTGGGTTGCCTCCTCCAATACAATCCCACGCCCTTTCAAAGCTCAACCCCCAGGGTTGGTTCTTCCAGTGAGGCTTCACCTTCTCGCACAGGCTCCACCCCTTTGGGAGACCACCTCAGGCCAAGCTCCGCCCCCTGTATAGACCCCACCCATCCTGAAGCCCCAATGGGGGGGCCCAGGGGTTCGGGAAGGGGTGGAGCCTTTCTGACCACGCCCCTTGTCCCCAGTTTTGGGAGGTGATCAGCGACGAGCACGGCATCGACCCCACCGGCACTTACCACGGCGACAGCGACCTCCAGCTCGACCGCATCAGCGTCTACTACAATGAGGCCACCGGTACGGTGTCACCCCGTCCCCTGTCACCCCCTCGGTGTCACCCCTCCGTCCCCATCCCCCCCCACATCCCCGTCCCCCGTCCCTTTCCACCTGAGACCTGACAGGCTCGGCTCACCCATCCCGCCCCCCCACACCCTCCCTTCCCCTCCTCGGGTTTTGGGGTGGTTTCTGGGGGTTTGGGGGATGAGGAGGCGACGCGGTGTTGTCACCGTCACACCCCTCGGTGACACGGCGATGTCCCCAGGGGGTAAGTACGTACCAAGAGCCATCTTGGTGGACCTGGAGCCGGGCACCATGGACTCGGTGCGCTCAGGACCCTTCGGGCAGATCTTCCGGCCGGACAACTTCGTTTTCGGTGAGTCCCCGTGTCACCCGGTGTCCCCCACGTGTCCCCACCACGTCCTCCTAGGTGACTCTGGGGTGCCCGTCATGGCAGGGTGGCATTTTTCTTCATTTGGTGGCTATGAGGCTCCTGGTGGTGGCCCCTTGGGTGACCATCACCATGGGCTCCCGGTGGTCCGTGGGTTCCCTTCCCAGTGGAGTGGCACATCCCTCCTTGGTGGCCCTCAAGTGCTTGTCACGGTGGGGTGGCAAGTCCCTATTGTCCCTTTCTTGGTGGCCAGGGTCTTTCCCTGTGTCCTCAGAGCTGCCCCCGCTTTGGTTTTGGGAAGGTTATTGGGGTCCTCAAAGGGGTCGGGGTCCCCAAATCAGGGGGATGAGGGGAGATGGGCATCTCTGAGGAGCTCAGGGTGCCCCTGGGTGCATGGTGGAGGTCCCCAAGGAGGGTAACAAAAGGTCCCCAAGCTTCTTGGTGTCCCCAAGGAGATAATGGAGGTCCCCAAGGACCTTAAAGGTTTCTAAGGGCCAGCTGGAGGTCCCCGAGAAGAGGGATGGTGGTCCCCAAGGAGCTCACGTATGGACTGGAGGTGCCCAAGGGTGGCATGGAGATGGAGAAGGAGAGTGATGGAGGTCCCCAGGGTCCTCAAAAGTGGTCTGGAGGACGATACAGGTCCTCGGGAGTCAGGTAGAGAGACCCAAGAAGGGCGATAAAGGTTCTTGAGGGTGGGATGGAGGTCCCCAAAGACCTCAAGGTCCCCAAGAGGGTGCTGGATGTCCTCAAGGAGCTCAAGGGTGAGCTGGAGATAGGTGGGAAGAGCAACGAAGGTCCCCAAGGCCCTTAGTGTCCCCAAGGGTTTGCTAGGTGTCTTCAAAGACGGCGATGGAGGTCCCCAAGGAGCATAAAGTCCCCACACGTGGGCTGGTGGTCCCCAGGGAGGGTGATGGAGGTCTCCAAGGAGCATAAGGTCCCCAGGGGTGGGTTAGAAGTCACCGTGGAGGGTAACAGAGGTCCCCAAGGAGCTCGGGGTCCCCAGGGGTTGGATGGACATCTCCAAGGAGGTTGATGGAGGTCCGCAAGGGTGGGATCAAGGTCTCCAAGGTGATGAAGGTTGGTTTGAAGGTCCCCAAGGTCTTCAAGGTTGGCCTGAAGGCCCCCAAACTGAGCAACCAAAGGCCTCAGTTTCCCCCAGGGAGCCCCTCCATGACGTCCCCACCGTGTCCCCACCTCAGGCCAGAGCGGCGCGGGCAACAACTGGGCCAAGGGCCACTACACGGAGGGGGCCGAACTGGTGGACTCGGTCCTGGACGTGGTGAGGAAAGAAGCGGAGAGCTGCGACTGCCTGCAGGGCTTCCAGCTGACCCACTCGTTGGGCGGTGGCACCGGCTCCGGCATGGGGACCCTCCTGATCTCCAAGATCCGTGAGGAATATCCCGATCGCATCATGAACACCTTCAGTGTCGTCCCGTCCCCCAAGGTGTCGGATACGGTGGTGGAACCCTACAACGCCACCTTGTCCGTCCACCAACTGGTGGAGAACACGGACGAGACCTACTGCATCGACAACGAAGCCCTCTACGACATCTGCTTCCGCACCCTGAAGCTGACCACGCCCACTTACGGTGACCTCAACCACCTCGTCTCGGCCACCATGAGCGGCGTCACCACCTGCCTGCGTTTCCCCGGTCAACTCAACGCCGATCTTCGCAAGTTGGCCGTCAACATGGTGCCCTTCCCGCGTCTTCACTTCTTCATGCCCGGTTTCGCCCCCTTGACGTCGCGCGGCAGCCAGCAGTACCGCGCCCTCACCGTCCCCGAGCTCACCCAGCAGGTCTTCGATGCCAAAAACATGATGGCCGCCTGCGATCCCCGTCACGGCCGTTACCTCACGGTGGCCGCCGTCTTCCGAGGTCGCATGTCCATGAAGGAGGTAGACGAGCAGATGCTCAACGTGCAGAACAAGAACAGCTCTTACTTCGTCGAGTGGATCCCCAACAACGTCAAGACGGCCGTGTGTGACATCCCGCCGCGCGGTCTCAAGATGGCCGTCACCTTCATCGGCAACAGCACGGCCATCCAGGAGCTCTTCAAGCGGATCTCGGAGCAGTTCACGGCCATGTTCCGCCGCAAAGCCTTCCTCCACTGGTACACGGGCGAGGGGATGGACGAGATGGAGTTCACCGAAGCCGAGAGCAACATGAACGACCTCGTTTCGGAGTATCAGCAGTACCAGGATGCCACCGCCGAGGAGGAGGAGGACTTCGGTGAAGAGGCCGAAGAAGAGGCCTGAGGGATGGTCGTCCTCGGAAAGCCCTCGGCCTTCAGCGTCATCGTCCTCGGAGAGCCCTCGTCCTTCAGCGTTGTCCTCGGAGAGCCCTCGTCCTTCGCCGTCATCGTCTTCGGAGAGCCCTCGTCCTTCACCGTTGTCCTTGGAGAGCCCTCGGCCTTCAGCGTCATCGTCCTTGGAGAGTCCTTGTCCTTCATCCTCCTCCTCAGCCTTCATCGGTGTCCTCTGAGAGCCCTTGGTCTTCATCGTTGTCCTCGGCCTTGGTCAGCGTCCTCGGTCTTCGCTGTTGTCACCGGAAAGCACTTGGCCATCGTCCTTGGAGAGCCCTCGGCCTTCCTCACCGCCTTCAGAGCGCCCTTGTCCTTCACCGTGGTCCTTGGAGAGCTCTTGGCCTTCATCATCATCATCCTCAGAGAGCTGTTGGCCTTCACTGTTGGCACCAGAAAGCCCTCGGCCTTTGTCATTGTCACCGAAAAGCTCTTGGCCTTCACCGTTGTCACCACGAAGCTCTTGGCCTTCATCGTGGTTGTCCTCGGAGCCCTGGGCCTTCACCATTGTCACTGGAGAGCCCTTGGCCTTCATCATCATCATCTTCAGAGAGCCCAAAGCCTTTGTCATTGTCCTCGGAGAGCCCGCAGTCCTCCCCGGCGTCATCGGCACCAGAGTCTTCTCGTCCTTCATCATGGAAGCAATGGTCACTAGAGTCCTTCGTCATCGTCACCAGAGAGTCCCAGTCCTTCATCACGGTCATCGAAGAGCCTTCGTCATCGTCACTGGAGAGCCCTCACCCTTCGTCATCGTCACCAGAGAGTCCCAGTCCTTCATCATGGTCACCGAAGAGCCTTCATCATTGTCACCAGAGAGTCCCAGTCCTTCATGGTCATTGAAGAGCCTTCGTCATCGTCACCGGAGAGTCCCAGTCCTTCATCATGGTCACTGAAGAGCCCTTGTCCTTCGTCATCGTCACCAGAGCGTCCCAGTCCATTATGGTCACTGAAGAGCCTTCATCATTGTCACCACAGAGTCCCAGTCCTTCATCATGGTCACCGAAGAGCCCTCGTCCTTCGTCATCGTCACGGGAGAGTCCCAGTCCTTCATCATGGTCACCGAAGAGCCCTTGTCCTTCGTCATCGTCACCGGAGCGTCCCCGTCCTCCACCGCCATCTCTGTCACCAGAGTCCCCGTCCCCTCTCGGTTGTCACCGTCCCCAGAAGGCCCCCGTCACCGCAGAGCCACCGTCCCCTCCGTGTCCCCACGTCCCCCACCGCCGCCGCGGGGGGGGGAGGGGGGCGTGTGACATCACCACTAAATTATTGCAGCCCCCGGGCACCAATTCGCCCCCGTTTCCACCCAAAGCCACCGCTCCAGGGGGCTCCCGGGTGGCCCTGTCCCCCGTGTCCCCAAGCGGGGGCTCTCCTGTCCCCTCCGTGTCCCCTCCCCCCCCAAATCCAGCCTTTTTTTGGTTCGTTTTGCCCCTTTTTAAGCTTTTTTTCCCCTGCCCCCCCCTTTTTTTTTTTTTTTTCATATTGAAAAGCCGCCCCCGGGCGAGGAATAAACCCGGGATGTAAAGCCACCCTCGTGTCCCTTGTCCCCTTCCCGTCCCCGTGTCACCCCCCCCCGATGTCCCCAAGGTCCCCTCGGGGTCCCCACGTCCTCGGTGGCCCCTCGAGGTCCCTTTGTCCTTTTAGGGTCCCCTCCAGGTCTCCATGGGGGGGGTCCCACCTCGAGATGTCCCCACCAGGGTCTTGATGTCCCCACCAGGGTCCTCGATGTCCCCTTTAGGGTCCCTCTGGGGGGGTCCCACCTCAAGATGTCCCCACTGGGGTCCTCGATGTCCCCTTTAGGGTCCTTGATGTCCCCACCGGGGTCCTTGATGTCCCCTTTAGGGTCCCTCTGGGGGGGTCCCACCTCAAGATGTCCCCACCGGGGTCTTTGATGTCCCCTTTAGGGTCCCTTTGGGGGGGTCCCACCCCAAGATGTCCCCACTGGGGTCTTTGATGTCCCCTTTAGGGTCCTCGATGTCCCCTTTAGGGTCCCTCGGGGGGGGGTCCCCGTTCCCCCCCCCCCAATGTCCCCTTTGCTGTAGTCCCTGTGCCACCTCTGGTGTCCCCCAAGTCTTCTACCTGGTGTCACACTGTCCCATGAGTGTCCCCTCGGGGCGAGCGGACCCTCCCATGTCCCTGTCCCCAACAGGTCCCCTCTTTGTCACCTCTTAGGGCTTTTTGGGGCCACCCGTGTCACTTTTGGGGTCCCCAAACCCTCCGCACCCGCCCCCCCCACCCTGAGGGACCCAGCTCTCGCCCCGTGACGGACGCAGCAGCTTTAATTTGGGGACAAAGGGACACGTCACCCCGCCGCGGGGACACGCCGGCCACCGGGGTGGTGGCACCTGGGGGTTGGTGGCACTTTGGGGACGCGGTAGCACCACGGGGCGATGGTGCCTCAGGGACGCGGTGGCACCAGTGTGGGGTGGCACCTTGGGGGAACACGGTGGTACCGTGGGGCGGTGGCACCACGGGGACACGGTAGCATCACGGGGTGGTGGCACTTTGGTGACACGGAGGCTCCGGGGGGGGTGTGGGGGTGGTGGTGGCACCACGGGGACACTGTGTCACTGGGAGGTGGTGGCACTTTGGCAAGACAGGGGCTCCGGGAAGGGGTGGGTGGTGGCACCACGGGGACACAGGGTGGTGGCACTTGGCGGGCAGGGTGGCACTGGGACACGGTGGCACTTTGGGGACACGCGGTGGCACTGCCTCAAGCCTGGCATTGTGACTTCTTCTGGGTGGCCTGTGGGGACAAAGGGGGGACTGAGGGGCGGACCCGGGTGTCCCCATGTCCCCAGTGTCCCATCTGTCCCCAAGGGGACCCCGATCCGATGTGACACCCCCCCCGTCCCCCAACGGGGACACAGGCGCACCTGGGTGACGCTGACACCCGTCAGGGCCTCGACGGCGGCGGGCAGGCGGGTGACGACGTCCAGGATCTCCCCCGGTAACCGCGACACCCCGATGTCACCCGAACCGCCGGCCACCAACGTCACTCG